CCCCTACTTTATCGCTGGTCAGTTTGAAGAAAGATTGGAGGGCTGATTGGCCCACAACTGTTGTGTATTATGTCCTGATTTCCCTGTGAACTTGCTGAGCCCATCCATCAGCAGGGGGCCTGCAGGGAGACAGATGCCTATAAAGTCTTTGTTTTAAGCTGCCAGGTTTTTGTCTCAAGTCAGGAGACTGAGGAACTTCACCACCTTTATTATCTAACCATGGGCTGGTCTGCCTGTCTGTCTGCCTGCCAGGGAGTCTGTCCAACGCCCAGTCTTTCACCACTGTGTCTGATTTATGTGGTGCTGGGGATTGGACACAGGGCTTCATGCCTTCTGGACAAGCACCCTACTGACTAAGCTACATCCTTCCAACTCTCATCCCGTCAGCCAGCACCTGGCTCGAAAGCTGGCCAGTAGACTCCTGGGCAGCAGAGGTCTGGTCCTGACACCTACACACACACACACACACACACACACACACACACACACACACACACACACACACACTCTTCCCTGCCTTCGATCACTTCCTAGATTAGAAACTGGCCTGTTTTCTTACGTAGATCTGCAACATCTGGTTCTTGGGGAGATCCACCGCGGGGTACTGTAGACTGGCAGGCGTCTGGTTCAGTGAGCACACCTCCGAATGACTATGGCTTCTTTCCTTGAAGGTGCCGACTCACTGTACCGGGACAGCCTCAGCTTCAGTGATGAGAAACTGAATTCACCAACGGACTCCACTCCAGCTCCGCTGACTTCCTCTGTCACTCCTCGGAAAGGTGAGCTCACCAACTGGACTCTCTTATCCCCGCCCACCCCTGCCCGTTATCCTCCACCAAGCTTTCACAGAGTACAAAGCAAACAGATAAGATAAATAGTTCTGGGCGACAGGAGTGCATCGTTTATGGGATTTGGGCCACGTGTAGATTCCCTCTTGTGGCCGAGGGGAGTGCTTCTCATTCGCCTACTGGACCAGCGTGGCTTCCTAATGTAAAACTCGGCAGTCTGGCTTTGTAGCAATGAGAAGATTTTTTTTGTCTTTAATTTCATTAACTGTTTACAGCAGTGCTCTGGGGTGACTCTCTCATTATGTCATTATGAGACAAGAATGATCTAACCTGGGGCCACTGAGATGGCTTCAGTAGGTAAGGGTGCTTGCCGCCAAGCCTGCCGAGCTGAGTTTGATCTCTGGAACCTACTTGGTAGACGTCCTCTGATCTCCACATGGGCACATATGTTCAATCATACATACATACATACATACATACGTACACGCATACCAAAGAATGAATGAATGAATGTTTTAAAAAACTAAAATGGACACGATTCAAAATAGCAGCCCCACCCTGTCCCTGCTTCAGTATTAATAGACTAAAGAGGGTTTAAAGGGGCATGAATTGGTCCTTAGTTTTTGGAATTGGCCAAGTCTCCGCAGCTAGAGAGCTGAATGTTGTTATACTGGACAGGCGCCCTTTGGAGAACAAAAAGAGGTCGTCCCCCCCCTCCAAGGAAAATTGAACTTGCTGAAAATAGTTGCAAAATGCAATAAAAATGGAACCAACTTTAAAAGAAATATGACGATCCCATCACTTGTCTCCACCTGGCATGCAAACAGAACTTCCCTCTCTCTTGAAAGAGATATTTTTAAATTCTCTTCTCAACACAAATGTTGGCAGCCACGGGGGATTCGGCCATTGTCCAGCCTCCAATCTGTAACGGATCTGTGGACTCCAGGGATAGAGCAGTCTAGAGAATGACTTCAAGAGTGCCCAGATCTGCTACCTAATCCTCCAGCAATGGGAATTACAGAAGGCGGCGGCGGGGGAGCCACTGTGGCGAGTGGACTTGAAAACTAAGAACAATGAACCATTTGTAGCCAGCGAAGAAAAAATATTCAGCAATGCATTTCAAGCAAGGCATGAATGACGGAGAAACTATTCAGAAGAGAGTAAAATACATAAGGAAAGCATATACCTCTGGCCACAGAGACAGCCATGTCTAGATGAAAGCTCTGTGCTCCTCTGAGATGGCCTCTCAGGTTCCCTGTTCCACCTGCCATGAAACAGTAGTTACACTCTTGTCCCATTGGAGGACCACTGTATTGTCTCCACAAGCGGCGAAAGCGCCTTCCTCTCTCTGTCTCCCGGACTTTTAAGACACCGAAGAGATCCATCTTCCGGGCTAGGCAGGTGGCTCAGGGTGGTAGTGAACTACAGGACAACACTGAGGCTAGCCTCCAGTTGGAGGAGACACTGAGGACTGGTGTAGGGGGGGCGTGCTCTGTGAGATCTCTGAAGACAGCAGGTTTCCGTAATCTGGAAGCCCCACCATCCCAGGAAAAATCCTCCATCAGCTGTGTCTGGGAAGGAAACTGAACTCTTCTTCTATTTTGCAGCCAAATTAGGGGACACCAAAGAGCTGGAAGACTTCATTGCCGATCTGGACAGAACATTAGCAAGTGAGTACACGCTTGGTGTTTAAAACATCACTCGGAATAGGGAGCCACACCTTTGATAATGTGCCGTGATGTTTCCCAGCTTGCCCGGGGGCGGGATGTTACATCACAAGCTGCTCTAGGTGTAGAAACAGGACCTTGGTGGCCCAGAAAGCAGCTTGGAGGATAAGCTTGCAGGAGAGTAGCCGGAGACTTGCTTTCCTAACTGTGCACACAGGTCAGCAGCAGACAATGGCGTGTTGTTGAGAAAATGGAGAGGCCGGGCGGTGGTGGCGCACGCCTTTAATCCCAGCACTCGGGAGGCAGAGCCAGGCGGATCTCTGTGAGTTCGAGGCCAGCCTGGGCTACCAAGTGAGTCCCAGGAAAGGCGCAAAGCTACACAGAGAAACCCTGTCTCGAAAAACCAAAAAAAAAAAAAAAAAAGAGAAAATGGAGAGAGAGAGAGAGAGAGAGAGAGAGAGAGAGAGAGAGAACACACTTCACTGTAAGGATGGCTTGCCAGTTCTGAGAGGAGGAACAAGCCAATTCGTCCTATAGCATTCCTCCAGCAAGCCAGAGGGGTCCGTGCCCTCGGGTCATTCCCCAAGTTTGAATGCAGGCTGCAAGGTCCTGGTGAGATTTTTGTTGAGTATTGAGTGCCAAACAGAAGTAGGCTGGGATACCCGTGCCAACTGGCCAGTGACCCAGATTCAGCGCGCTTCTAAATTTGGGATCACACTGTTGGTTGTCCATCTCGTGTGGCCCCAAACTGAAGACACCAGGTCAAAATTGTAGCACACACAGCGGGGTGGGGGTGGAGGGGTGTTAGCGGGAAGAACCCGTCCCGCTCTATCTGTGGGCTCCTCTTCAAAAGGACGAGACTGCAGGAGACAGCGGCAGCAGCTGAGTCCCAGCTTGCAGGGATGCTGGCCTCAGCATCTCTCCTCACGGGGGGACTTGCTAAGCCTTGGAGAACTTTCTATTCTGGCTTCTTAATTATTTAGTGAAAGTGATCATTTTTCTGTAAGAAGCACTCTATGTTTTATTCTGCCAGATAGGTAAAAATCTAAACATTTAGATCTAAAAGTTAAACAGCTTAAAACAGCCACGGTTTTTTATCACTCTCCCACTCTGTATTTGCTGGATGGTTTTACTGCCCTCCTTTGCTTTCTCTGTTGCACCATCCTGCATCAGAAGACAGACCTAGGCTTGTTCCGACAGATGATTCTAATTGCAGCACAATTGGTATTAGGCCCCTGCAGCAAGCCTGCCTACTTCGTGCCAATTGCAGCTGGCCTCCCAGTCAGTCCAGTTAGCCAGACCTGCATTGCACGGGAAGCCTGCTATTAACTTTGCTTTTGACGCCCGTCTAAGGCCACGTGATTAAGCACGGGGATTGTGTGGAGTGTCTGCCAGGGCTAACTCACCCTCTCTCTCCTTTACAGGTATGTGAAGAAGCGAGGGGTTCGGGGTCCTTAGGCCGCAAGAGCGAAACTCCCGAAGACTCCAAGGACCTGACAAAATCAGCTACTGGGATCTGCTGCTGCAGGAGGGGACAGAGCCAAGGCCCCCCGTGGCCGTCCTCGGCTCACCCTAACATTTGCCGTCAGGCCCATCTCTGGGCAGCCCAGACAGTAGAACTGACTTGTTTACCTGCCTGCAGCATATTTCAACAGATGATCTATCTAATGTATTTTCACTCCTTAAACATAGCTGTTCTATAATTTAAGATGCGTTTATGGAAATATTTGTAATTACTTATATATAGTTGGAGACCGTAATAAGCTTTTCCCATCATAATATATTTTTGTATACAAATAAAGTTTAAACTGGAATCTACTCTGAAAGCTGTCTTATTACTGCCAATAGATTTCCATTCAGTAGTTTTCTAGCAGGAATGATGGGCCTCTGGATTCCCAGTGAGGATACTGTGTGCTGTGGTTATACTCACTTGAGGGTGGCTTTCTCCGCACTCTAATCCTTACGTTGTCAAAACCTTTTCGTTGTGGGCTGGACAGATGCCTCAATGGTTAAGAGCAATCGATGCTCTTCTAAGAGGATTTGGGTTCAATGCCCAGCACCTACATGGCAACCACATTTATCCTAAACCCCAGGGCCAGGGGATCTGACGCCCTCTTCTGGCTTCCTCTGGCACTGCACGCATGTGGTGCACAAACATACATTCATACATATAAAATAAAAATAAAATTTCAAAAAAAGTTTCCCCTTGGGGCTGAGAGATGGCTCAGTGGTTGGGAGCACTGGTTGCATTTCTAGAGGACCCAGGTTGGATTCCCAGCTCCCATAACGTTGCTCACAACTATCTGTAACTCTGGTTACAGGGAATCTAATGCCACCTTCTGACCTCCTCAGGTGCCAGACACATACCTAGTGCCCAGACATGCATGCAGGAAAAGCCCTCAAACACATAAAATAAAGCTAAATAAATCATTAAAAAACAAAACAAAAACCCCGGACTTCACATTTTCTTTGATTGTTTGGTAGCGTCACACACACACACACACACACACACACACACACACACACACACACGCACACGCACACACTGAATTTTAGTAATTTTCACACACACCCCAGTTCATCATTCCCTTCCTCTCCCGCTGGGCCTTCTCAGCAAGACGGCCCCCCTTATCTCACAGCTTCTTGTGTGGGGTCCAGAGTTTGGTCAGAGTCTCTTGCCTGAGCGTGGGTGGGAGGTTGTTTATTCCAGAGAGGCTGCACCCCTGAGGAGAATGCAGAGCATCAAATAGTTCGTCAACCTGTGCGTCATCCTCATCCAGGGCCGTGCTGGGCGGCTTGGTCCAGTCTTGACGCGTGTGATGCTGACGTCCCTGCATTCTTAAAGGCCATCTTCCCCCCAGCACAGGTGTGCTGGTTGGTCTCGTAAACTTGAGTAGACCAGCGTTACCTGGGAGAGGGAACCTCCACTGAGGAATTGCCTCCATCAGCTTGGCCTGTGGGCACACCGTTGGAGCATTTGCTTGATTAACGATCGATGTGGCGGGGCTGGACCCATTCTGGGCAGTGCGACCACTGAGCACTGGGTGGTCCTGGGAGATATAAAAAAGCAAACTGAGGGCTGGAGACTTGGCTCAGTGGTTAAGGGCACTTGTTGTTCTTGTGAAGGACCTGAGTTCGATTTCCAGCACCCACATGGAGGTTAACCACTTCCTCAGGTACCAGGCACACACGTGGTGCTCAGACATACATGCAGGCAAAGCACTTGTCTGAATAAAATAAAAGCCTAAAAGACTTTTAAAGAAAAGAAAGAAAGAAAACTGGGGGAGCCATGGAAGGTAAGCCAGTGACCCCATTCCTCCATGGTTCCTGCCTCTGCTCCTGCTAGAGTTCCTGCTTCGAGTTTCCTTAGTAGTCAGGACATGAAAGCCACAAAAATGAAAGCCACCACCACCCCGCCCCCGCACCATACCAACTTGCTTTTGGTTACCATTTTCCCGGAGCAACAGAAAAGCAGGTAGGCCCACGAGTACAGTCACATGGGTTCCTGTGGGCGACAGATCACATTGGATGGCAGTCTCACAGACTGTAACAGAGTTCCAGCACTTCGTGATGTCACAGCCATCGTGGTGTTGTAGTAGGACACGTGATGAGGCGTTGGTGCTGACACTGGTGTGAACGACCTACTGTGCTTCGGGTCACGTGTAGTACAGCCCAGGACGGTTGTATTCATAGGACTTTGATAGTCACAGGAAACAGTCTCACTACTTACTGGCTCCTGTGTTTCTTACGCGCTTCACTGGTAGAGAGCCTAGGTTTTCGGTGTTAAAAATTTCGTGGACAGTCACTGTACATGTCACATCCGGCTGTAGGAAGAGGCTCACCTTGATCAACACATGCTGCCCACGTTTGTGCTGCGTCCTTTCTCTGATGCCCCTAGAGTGGTAAACATCACTTAGCAATGCATGTTTGATCTACTTTAGGGCAATGTGAAAAGATACCTCATGTCTTCCTCAAGCTTCTAGGAAAGCTTTGTGCTCAGTGCAAACATCCTCTCTCTCTCTTTTAATTTAAACAACTTTATTTTTATGTGCGTATGATAGGCACACACGTGCCTTGGTGCGTGTGTGGAGGACCGAAAACGTCTTTGTGAGGTAGTTCTCTCCCTTGACCTTTGCATGGACTCCAGGGACTGAATTCAAGTCTCCAGGGTGAGGTGACTGCCTTTATTGGCTGAACCATCTCACTGGCCTCTCCCTGTCTTTAAAAAAAAATTGAGATATGATTTGCATGCTCAGACTTCAGTTGTGTGGCTTTTAGCATATCCACAGATATTACAACCACCATTGCTGTTGCTGCTCTGTGTGACTGTCTATTCTAGACACATGAAATGTAATGACACACGGTGCTCTTCTGTAACTTAGCACGTTTTCAAGGTTAATCCTCCCTTCTAATAGCAAAATACTATCCCACCATGTGGCTATGTTTATACAACCATGAGTTGGTTAATGGGTGGCATTTGCGTTTGTACTTCTGAGCTAATGAGTAACGCTCTCACAAGAAAGCACGTGCAAGTATTTGTGTGGGTGTCTGTTTTAGTTTCTCTTGGGTGTAGAGGCGGGACTAGGATTCCCAGGTCAGCTCAAGCTCTGTGACCAACGTTTTGAGGAACTACTGAATGTCGTGAAAGCAGCCGTGAATGTGCCCCGTCGAGTTCCCGGCTGTAGTGGAGGTCTTCCCCTTCCGCACGCCCTCACTGGGGTCTGTCTCTGAAGAGTGCTCCCCGGGTGTGGAGCACAGTCTCCCTGTAGCTTGTCTTACAGTTCCAGTGTAACAAATGCATCTCCTGATGTGCTTACTGGCTTCTGCCTTCAGTGTGAGCTGTAGGAAGTCACCAGGGACTCTGGTTACAGGTTCCTTATCAGATATGTGGTTTGAAAAACGGTCTCTCTCTCGTGGGCTTATTGTACAGGACTGTCCTCAAAGCCGAACAGCCACCCTTTTCAGGAGTTCATCGGGGCTTGCTCACACAATGTCCTCACAGCTGGCCCTGCTGACTTCTTACCTTCCCTCCTGGAAAGGGGTCAGAGAGGATCGTGGTGACCCTCCCCTCCCGGATTCCGGCCACCCCGCCCAACCAGCTGTAGCAATTCAGCCCGCGATGCAGATGACCTTAGGGTATTGGGGGAAGGGCTGGAGGAGATCAGTGTAGAAGGATGAAGGGCGGGGACTTCGTCTACATAGTTAGGGGGAAGCTATTGTCCTTGCTGGGTGCAGAACTCCAGTACAGCTGCCTCAAGGTCACCCACCTCCTTCCTGTTACCTCCTCCCACCCTATTGCTCTGTGATGAGTCCAATAAACTCATCTGTTATCCCAGGTAAACTGTGGTAGAACCAGCTGAATTGCACTAGGGTTGTTGTTGGGGTCTTAGGAAGAGGGGTAGATAGACCTTGTTTACACTGTTCTAGGGAAGGACTTTCAGAAACAGAGCTTATTATTTTCACTTTTTGTCCTTGAAGCATGGAAGTTTTAATTTTGTTGAAATCCAATATATTTTTTTTTCTTCTAAGAAAAAACTTTTTTTTTGTGGTGGTACATCTAAGGAACCTCAGGCAGAACATTCACTCCTGTTCTTTCTTTTACTAATTTCACAGTTTTTAGCTGAGCATAGTGGTTCACGACTGTAATCAATCTGAGTTCAAGGGCCAGCCTGGTCTATACAGATGAGTCCAAGGGCTACACAGTAAGGCTTTGTCTCAAAACAAAACAAAACAAAACAAAAATCAGGGCATGGTGGCATGCTTATAATTCCAGAGCAGGGCAAGTGGAGACAGGCGGCTCCTTGGGGTTCGGGTACCAGTCAGCTAATCCCACTTGGCACATTCCAGGCCACCGAGAGACACTGGTTCCAAAACATAGGTGGGTGGGGCTGGGGCTGGGGCCCAGCTGTAGGTGTTTGCCTTGCTAGCTAGCATGATGTTCTAGGCTCAATCCTCAGCACAGAAAAAGCAGAGAAAAAAATAAATAAATAAAAGCAAGCGGCGCCTGAGAAATACTTGAGATTGTCCTCTGCCATCTACGTGCACAGATGTGCACACACACCCTCATGCTCTCTCACACACACTAGACAACGTAAGTTTCAGCTTTTGCATTTAGTCTGTGATGTACTTGGAGTTAAGTCGCACAAAGTTTGTCCCACATCATCCTTTGGCATTAGACCAGCCTGTTGTCACAATACTACTTCTTAGAAGACATTTCCCTCTGTTGAGTCACATTGGTGTCACCGTGGAACATCGATTATAAATGGATGGACTCTTTCTTGCTCATGGGTTTACACAGTCTCACTATGCAACCCAGGCTGTTGTAGAACTTGCGATGTAGCTCAGCTTTTGTGCTTAAATTCATGAACCTCCTGGCTCTGCCTTCTCAGGGCTGGTATTCCTGGTGGGCACTATGCCAGTCTGGGTGTTTTCTATCTTAACAACTGCTCTTTATTTGTTGGCACGGGATACCTTTCCATTGATAAGGAGCTGTTTAAATTATTTTAAAGTTACAAAGAACAGGTTTATTTTGCCCCTTTAATTTCTCTCAATTATATCTTGAAGTTTTTATGGCATAAACCTTGCATCCTTTGTTATATTTATTGTTAATTGCCTTAGTTACAGTTCTATCGCTATGAAAGGACATCATGACCACAGCAACTCTTATAAAAGAAAACATTTAATTGAGGGCTTGCTTATGGTTTCAGAGGTTAGTCCATTATCCTCGTGGCAGGGAACATGGCAGCCTTCATGGCAGACATGGTGCTGGAGCAATGGCTGAGAGCTACATCCTGAACCTCAGACCAAGAGAGAGACACTGGGCTTGGCATGGGCTTTTGAAACCTCACAGCCCACCCCCAGTGACACACCTCCTCATCCTTCTAATCCTTTCAAATAGTACCCCTCCTTAGTGACTAAGCATTCAACCATATGAGCTTATGAGGGCCATTCTTATTCAAACCACCACACCAAATATCCTGATACTATTGAAAATAGAGAGCTGGATGGCAATGGTACATGCCTTTAATCCCAGCACTCAGGAGGCAGAGCCAGATGGATCTCTGTGAGGTGAGGACACCCTGGTCTACAGAGCGAGATCCAGGACAGGCACCAAAAACTACACAGAGAAACCCTGTCTTAAGAAACCGAGAGAGAGAGAAAGAGAGAGAGAGAGAGAGCTGGCTCCATGGGGAAAAGAGTACCTGCCACACCAGCCTGACAATCTAAGATCGATCCATCCCTACATCCCAAGTGAAGAGGAAGGAGAGCACCCAGTCTGTCTATAACATTGTCCTCTGACCTTCACACAGGCACTGTGGCACGCACAGACCCACACTCACATATCATGAGCGCACACCCACACAATAAAAACATAACACTAATAAAAAAAAATTTTAAAGATAGATTTTTGTGGATTTTACTTTTGGATTTTCTTCATTGCTCATGATTAGAGTTGACATTAATTTTTGTATGTGGGTCCCATGTCTTTGCTGTGTTTATTGTGCCTGTGTGTGTGCACCACAAACACGACATTGCTTCTCCACTCACACTCTGAATGCATTCCATTTCTCCTTCACTTCCACACAGTGTTGAAAATGAGAGTGGAAAAGGCATCACTCTCCTTTTGTTTGTGGTCTCCGAGGATGAGCTTGTCCCACTAAGCGCGGTGGCATGATGGCCCTGCTGTGAAGGGTTGCACTGTATTTTTCTCATTTTTAAAAAATACATATATTTGTTTTTATTGTATGTGTGCAGGTGTTCTGCCTGCATGTATGTCTGTGCAGCATGTGTGTGCAGTGCCCACATGAAGGCCAGGAGAAGGTGCTGGATCCCTTGGAACTGGAGTTGTAGGCTCCATGTTGTGAGCAGGACATGTGGTCATGGGAATCAAACCCAGATCCCCTGCCAGGGCACCACGGGCTCCTAACCATCTCTCCAGCCCCTCTTTTGGATCACACAAGTGCTTGGCTTCTTTTCTAGATTTTTGTCTCCTCCGCTGCACGGACCTGGCTCTTGCCCGTCCACTCTAGCCTTTATCTCCTTTGGAGAGATGATTTTCTCTCGTCAGGATGCCAATGGCCCTTTGTTTTCTCCATATGTTACGATGCTGGAGCTGAGGAACTGCAATGCAATTCTTTCTCCCCGGGGTTCTGAGACCTGGGGTCCACACCAGGCAAGCAGGACGTAAGGCTTTCTCGGCGGGTGTAAGTGACAAGCTTTGGGAACAAGGATGGATTCTTTTCTGTGAGTGGCTGGGAGGAGTGTCTTGTGCTCTTATAGGCCTTGGTTGGATATTGACTTAGGGGCAGGTGGCCTGAGGTCCTGGCAATGTTGAGAAGTATTTTCAGAGCTCCCTAAGATGTGTTTCAAGGAGCGAGGTCCTTACCTATTTTGAGAAATGGGTGTTATGTCGTCTGTACTTGAAAAGCACGCATGCTCGGCCCACACACACCTTCCTCTGGAGTTGTTCTAAGTTGCGGGATCAGAGATTAAGAGGTAGACAAGCTGGAGGTTTCTTTCTCA